CGTGTTAGTGTGTTGTAGACTTACAACTTTGTAAGTTATTATCACTTTGTTTTCTGTGCCGATTGTCACGAACACACAAGATATTGCATAAAGCGATTAGTAATGACATACTGCATTGTTAGCGTGGATATTGGTTTTATCATCCAGAGAATAACTGCTGCATTGCATGAATGGTTTCCACAGGATGTTATCAATAAAACTGGATGACATCACGTCCCTGTTATAAGCAGCTGAAAGGAAATTGAGCCGTCGAGACTTGTTGAGGTTAGTGCTCAGATCTTATGTTTATTCTTACTAAAAACTTATCTTTGAAATTTCTTAGATTTGAAATTTATGAGATCATTCATGTGTTTGTGCGTTAAGTTACCAGCTGTTTCAGTATCGCTATCTTGTACTAGAACTATTTACCTACTCGCCGCGTTTTATGATCCATTTCGAGTCCTTTGCAACGGTTGTACGTATACATTACTGCTTCGCTGAAAAAATCCTCCCAAGTTCAGCTGTAGTTTTACCAATTTTGAAAACAGCCTACTGTGAAAGAATTTTGCCACTGAGGATTGAGGGAAAGATGATTTGTAAACTAGGACAGCTAGCTGCCACACAAAAGGATCATGAAGCGTAAACAATTAACAAAAAAAAACATCTTTCTTCGTACTAATGCCTGTAACGTATAATTCTCGCGTTAAGTAAAGAGGTCTTCTATTTTGTTAAAGGAGAGAACGCTCCCAAGAACAATTCTTAGGCTTAACGGTCTTCGAAGCAGGCAATGTTTCAATATAAGTAAAAATAAGAAATTTGGATTCAGTATCCTTACAACAGACGCGTGCGTATCTTTGTTTTCAAGCCGTATTCCCCAGGCAGTGCACTAACACGGAGTAATTTAATCCTAGACCTATACGAAAATATTAGCTGAAGAACAAACAATACCCAATGTAGAAATCAAACGAATTGAATAGACTTGGTGCTACCCTAGAGAATAATTTGTTTGAAATTGAATAAATTAATATTCTAAGGATAAATAAACGATTAATTATCTACAGAAGACGTCATCGTGGATTTGAAATGTGCAATTTACACACCACGTTAAAGAAAGGTCTATTTTAGTTAAATTACAAACTATTGAGAAGGACGTTAACCTATACCCTCAAATATTAGAGAATTCGTGGCACTCCATTGGAAGTCTAGCTAAACAAATCTTCGTGTAAATAAGGATTACGGTTGTGCAGCGGCTAGAGTGAAGGTAATTAATCTAATATTAGCGCGTGGTCATACTGCGAGGCTATTTAGGGTTCGGGGTTAAGGGTTAGGGATAGACGCTTAATTAGTCGGTTTAAATGACGTAAAAAAATTGCGTGTCAGTGGTTTTAGCGAAAGGGTCATCTTTTGGTTTTGGTAACTAAGTAAACTACATGTCATGGGCTGTGATTCTGACGTACAGTATTCGCTGAATTACACAACTCTGAAACTACAACAAGTATGTTTTTGTACAACGCAAATTTATGGAGCCAAGTGTACTTTTCCGATTGCTTGCAAGTGTCTGTAAATCCTTTGCTTGTATTAAAACACAACGGCTAATTTCCACTCTTTTAGACATGGACTAAAACTTAAACTTGAAGTTACGCATAAGAGGTAAAAAATGAAGTTCTTTAAAACCTACAGGTGCCCAGGATGTACTTTTGCATGTCAAGCAATGAAAGCAATGAACATGCAAAGACAAAAGGCTAAAGACAAGGAACAAAGTCCCATGGAAAACGCAAATATCTTTTCTTTGCTCTTTTTCTGGTGGATGAATGACACCTTAAAACTTGGAAGCAAACGACCCTTACAGGACGAAGACCTTTTCCCGCTTCAAGATGAATTCAAAACGGAGGCACTAGTTGAAAAACTCGAGACAGAATGGTATAAAGAAAGTGATTCCTGCGCTCGCAAGAATAAGCACCCTCGACTCTGGAAAGTCATGTTTAGGATGGTTTCCCACAAGAAGTACTTGATATTCGCAACTGTCAAGTTAATTCACTCGGTGTCCAATATATTGCTTCCACTTACGGTGTGGTTCTTCCTACGAAGTCTATCTGAGGGTACCAACGGTAATCAAGTCTCTACGACAATGCACATTATTGGGATCTCTGTGGTTACTGTGGTGAAAGGGATGTCCCACCACCATGCATTTTTCCTGGGAGGAATTTACGGAATACAGCTGAAGGTCTCTGTCATCGGAGTGATTTACAAGAAGGTACTTTTGATTTATTTTGTTCAGGTTTTCGGCACAAAGAGGCTGAAATTAAGCACATAATTTGTAAATTCTCTTTACGTCTTTAAATTATAAAAGTACGACAGTAAAATCCTGTGTGGAAAAGAACATTAGGTGATTAAATTGAATCTCTCATAGGGCATCGCAAACATTGCTCCCTTAGGAGGGTTCACAGATTTATTTGTCAATGAGTCACAAATCCCAAATCAGCCAGCCAGCCAGCCAGCCAGACTGTTGGCCTGCCAATCTGTAACCCAGCCACTTTCCGTCCCCAAGTCCTCCGGTCCACCAGAGTGATCTAGCCAGCCAGCCTGCAAGCTACTCAGTCAGCTTATCTCTCAGTCAGTTGGTCATCTAGCCAGACACCAAACCGCCGGCCCGCTCGTCCCTCCGTCCTTTCATCTGTCGGTCCGTCTATCCAACCATCAAGGTCTAGTCATTCCAGCTGAATTCATAGAGTGATCCGACTATCCGCTGAAAATGTAGAGCATCGCAAGAGGGATTTTTATGTCACACTGAATTCGGAAAACGTAGCTGCTGTTTTCACATGTTTAACCAGTCCAAACAGCATAAAGCTCGTACCGTGTTCAGATTCCACACTCTTTCAATTGTTTTACAAGGCATCGCGCTTTGTGACATGTCACTGATCTGAAGAAAACTGATTACCTTATCTTCTAGCTGTCCTATCTTTTTTTTAAATGAATACGCCCAAAATTTTTCTAAACACGAGACCGGGAAGACAATTTCTCGACTCCATCACTTACGAACAGCTGTTTGGAGAATAAGAATTACAGGAAATTGCTAACATTGACTTACCTTTGTTTTTCCTCTCAGATTCTGACATTAAATCGACGTTCCCTAAATGAAGTCATCTCTGGTCAAACAATCAACCTGGTCTCAAACGATGCCAATCGCCTAAAGGATGCTGGTTGGAGTATTATGTTCCTTCTATTTGCCCCAGTAGAGATTATCTCATCCGGGATTCTGCTTTGGCATCTGATTGGCTGGCAGGCTCTGGTGGGAGCCGGTTTCTTCTTGGTGGTGATAACGTACATTTCTGTGCTGTCCAGGAAAGCGGGTCAGCTGCGGGAAAAGGCAGCTTCCGTGACGGACGAACGACTTGAGATTATGAACGAAGTTATTGGCGGCATCCGTGCAGTTAAGATGCATGCATGGGAATGGAAATTCAGAGACATGATAAGAAACTTGAGAAGGTAAGTACACAGCTTTCTGACAGTTGCAAAATCTGCAGGCAGCAGAGATGTCAATTGTCAGAACGCGAAGTATAGAGCTTGACAACTCAGCCTCTCATTAGGTGTTAATTTTGGTGAATTGGGCATTTCATACGAAAGCCATCACAAAGTTGTCAAAACGGTTAACAAAAAAATTTGGACAATGAACCTTCATGGAAAATTAGTGTTCAGTTTTAATTGAACAGCTTATTATTCTGGTGGCTTAATTACGGACGAATCTGCATGAGGACCTGACTAAAAAGAGAAAGTAACAGCAAACATTTAAATTGAAAAGTGGTTGTATGGCTGAACTGGTTTCAATTAAATTCGAATATAGTGTAAGTTCTACCATGAGCACAAGACATCCACGACCGAAAAGTATCTAATTGTCGCGCTTTTAACTGAAAAATGTACTTTCCAGTGACCGAACCGGGCATTATCTCGAATGATCCTGCGCGAACACTGTGAAGGTTTTATGGCCTGCTTTGCCTTTATGGTATGAACCTACCTGCACTCGGCCCTAATGGCAAGTCCTTGGGTCGCTATTATCCCAGTACAGTCCTCGCATTTGGTTAATAAGATATACATTTCCCCTAATTTATAGGAAGGAGATCAGCTACATACGTTTAAGAGGAGCCATTCTTTCAAGTTTTGACGCTCTCTACTTTACCAATACTCCCATCGCTACATTCATTTCCGTTACAACTCTGCTCCTTACAAACAACTACCTTACAGCGTTTCAGATTTTTACCTTATTGTCGACTTTGAACGTTATAAAATTCTCGGTTTCTGTCTCAGTGGGAGAGACACTTCACTTGTTAGCAGACGTTAAAGTTTCGTTGGACAGAATACAGAACTTTTTAGAAACGAATTCTTCATCCGTTGCCATGGAAAACGCCACACATAGAACAAATAATGGATGTGACAGTCCCACTTTCGATTGGCGACATGTCAAGGAGGGAAAGTTTAATTTTTCTGAATTTGCAGACGTTTTCACGTTACCTGAAGAAAATGAATTGAGTGAATCAAGCTGTGAGAGAAATAACTCAGAATCCCGGATTTCTTTGAACAATGTTTCCTGCAGCTGGAACGAGACAGATGATTTGCAGACTTTACAAAACATATCCATAGAAATTGGCAATAAGCAACTTGTGGCCATCACGGGACCTGTCGGTTGTGGCAAGACCTCTCTTCTCCAAGCAATACTCGGCGAACTGCCCTGTCACAGCGGAGAGATTACGTATTCTGGAAGCATTGCATATGTTCCTCAACTTCCATGGGTCTTTTCTGGAACAGTACGGGAAAATATTACCTTTGGAAAATCTCTTGATACTGTGAGGTATCAGAAAATTCTTCAAGCGTGTAGCTTGGAGAAGGACCTTCAGCAGTTCTCCAAAGGCGATTTTACACACATTGGGCAACGAGGGGTAAGTCTTAGTGGTGGCCAGCGGGCGCGAATATGTTTAGCCCGTGCACTTTATGCAGACGCCAACATCTTTTTACTGGATGATCCATTCAGTGCTGTTGATTTTCAAGTTGGCAGCCACTTGTTCAAAGAATGTATCCTTGGTCTGCTCGCTGAGAAAATTTGTGTCTTGGTGACTCACCAACATCAGTTCCTGACTAGGGTCGATACCATATTTGTAATGAAGCAAGGTACCATTGTTTGCCATGGAAAGTATAACGAGCTTCAAAGCAAAGATATTTTGTCCAAACTTGTAGTTGTTGGGAAAGAAAAAGAAAGAAAACAATCTGTTAGTAACATCAGGTACTTACGGAAGAGGCTGAGTGCTATGTCCCTGGTCCTGTCTACGGATGAAGGGGCTCATAACGACCTGGAAGAGGAAGACGAGGAAAGGATGGTAGGATCAGTCACTTGGCGTCTTTATTGGCTTTACTTCCGATCTGCTTTTCCAGCTGTCTTGTTGTTCTGCCTGTTCTTTCTGGTTTTGCTTGTTCAAGGTAAGGGTTACTGATATTTTCTGTCTACATGCATAACATACCACTTAAGATGGTGTCTGTGACTTCCTTGGCTTTATTCTGCAAGCGTTCTTTCAGGCTCTCAGATGAAGTTTGAAAAGTCAAAGAACGTCATTTTTATTTGGATCTTTTGCACTCCATTGTCTTTGGCTGAAGAGAGAGCAGGAGCAACCAACGGATCGTTTCGGTAAATTATCCGTTCGGAAGGCATTTAATCCCCTCTGATTTTCTTGAGAGAATTTTCACCTCGAACTTTCGTGATATGAGAAAGTTAAAGTCTGTTGTTTTCGGATTGTTAAAAATGCCGTTTTGAGTACCGAAAAAAGGTCAGCTATCATTTTCGGAAAGGCGATAATACCTAAGGTTTTCGGGAAATGGACAAAACAGCCCTAATAAATTCGAGAATACTCAAGTTCCCCTAGGATAACCCAACAGATAAATTTTTTTTAGCACAACCTAAAATTTACCTGCAGAGCTTTAAAAGTACTCTATATAGCCTAACACAGCGTTTAAAAGCATTCGAGAGAAAACGGTCGTTGGGTGCCCCTGAGATAGCTCCTTAACAATAATTTGTTTTTATCCAAAATGTACTTACACAAGTCTTTTAAGCCTTTTAATACATTAGATACCATTCACATAATAGCATTGAATGCTGATACTAACAAAAGGTCCGTCATACGGACATTCATGTCCCTGTCGATTATCGAAAATAATTCTCTAAATTGGCAAGCGCAACGAGCTAAACGTGCAGATTTAAGCCATTCCATAGAAAACAGAACCAATCAGAACGCAGCAAAGCCGTTGTATATTCGACGTTATTACATCCAACCTTACCATGATGATCGTGGGTCACGCGAATGTCTCACTGATTATTGTCGGGGTTGGCTACAGTATTTTCTATGGCATGATATAAAATACTCATGCAACACCCTCTCGTGGTACATCATGAAAAATCCCACTTGTCAGATCAATTGCATGTTATTGGTATAGCGCTCGAAACCGTTACATAACTTGCATGTATTTGATAAAAGATCCTACAAAGAAATATAGATCGAGTACTTTACGTCTCAAGAGCCGGATTGCAAGGATGAAAGATGAAAGTGGATTTCAGTTCAATCACTGATCAAATTTCATTTTGTGACATGATGTCTAAATATCAAAGTTGCCAATCCGGCAAAATTTTGAATTTACTATTAAATTATTAATTTTTTGAAGTTGATTTCTTTTGCTGTGACTGCCATTTGCGTTTTTCTATATACCACAAGATAATAAACATGTTTATAACAAGCTTCGGGCCTCACTTATTATTAAAACATGAAACATCAGCCGAGCCGATGGCCCTTTAATTTAATATTTGTTCAGTCACATGAAATTCCCTGTGAGGTAATTTTGTTGTTTGTTATTATCATTTTTGCTTTTTGTTCTGCAAGGGTAGATTGTGACTCTTCGCGGAGCCAGGATGATTTTCGTGCCTGTGTGATTAGAAAAATAGTTGTTGCCGATAATAGTTATATGTTCCACAAATAATTAACTGGGATACCAAAAAGGACAGTTATTTTATTGAGATCACTCGCTTTCATATCGCATAGAGATAGCAACAAGAAGACAAAATTTCTTGATTGCATTTTTCTATTTTTTTTTGTCCTCAGTCTTCCTCGTCTCCCCTTACTGGTGGTTGTCGCAAATTGCCAATATGACATTTAGCCAGCAAAGGAATGCCGTGACGCTTGGAATCTATGGATCTTTAGTGATAGGCACTCTTCTCCTGTCAACAGTTGTTTCTTCCTTCTTTTTCTACACTCTTCTGCGCGCATCACAGAAACTTCACGACAAGATGACCACAGCAGTCATTAAGGCCCCAGTTATTTTCTTCGACACCACGTCAGCCGGACGCATTCTAAACCGCTTCTCCAAGGATATCGGCTGCATGGATGACACTCTACCCCCACAGTTCCTGCATGCAGTTCAGCTGTGCCTCTTCTCTCTTGGAGCTACCTTGCTTTCTGCTGCAACTAACTATTGGCTCGTCATCGGCATCACGCCACTGGTGTTGCTGTTCCTTTACTTTGGGAGGTATTACTTGAAGACATCTAGAGAGTTGAAGAGGGTAGAGGCGATCAAGTGCAGTCCAGTCTACGCACATATTTCAGATACAGTAGCTGGTCTTGAAGTGATACGATCTTCTGGAATGGAGTGTAGCTTTTTGCAGGAACTTTTCAGGTAGGAAAAGTCGTTGCCTGCAAGTTTTGATGCGAACAAAGAAAGTTGTATTATGGCGTATGAAGTAGAAAATATTACATAATGTATCAAACACACGCATACGAAAGACCGTGTTGGACCACATCTCCAAACATCGAGTATTTTGACG